CATTCATCCAGCCATCCCTACATACATATTTACATGCACACATAGATTACATAGATCAGATACATTACATGCATTGCATACACACATACGTTTTTGTTACATCCATCCGTCCATCCATCCGTCCATCCATCCACTGACCCATACATGCATGCATGCATGCATGCATGCATGCATGCATGCATGCATACACTCATACATACTTGCTTGCTTGCTTGCTTACTTACTTACTTACATTCATTCATCTACCATCCATGCATCCATACATACATACATTCTTCCATCCTTCCATGCATCCTTCCATGCATCCATCCATACATACATTCTTCCATCCATCCGTCCATACATTCACCCATACATACATACATACATTCTTCCATCCATCCGTCCATACATTCATCCATCCTTCCATGCATCCATCCATCCGGCCAGCCTTCCGTACATACAGACACAGACCACATACATTACATACGTATAAGATCTTAAATGTGTTTAAGGAAAATGCATATACTGATTCAAACGTGTATTTCTACATATACACATGGACCCAATGTATTTACATATGTACTAGCATCTAGATACTTCCAGCATGTGCGTATATAGTTGTTTTGTATTGATCAAGGCACATGTAGTGCAGCGAGCATGCTGGCTATTGTGCCTGATCTTCAATACAGTCTTCCAATTCTTGAACTCTTGTCGGAACACAGACTCTGAAGCTACTTTCTGACCTTGATGATGTGTCTGGTACATGTCATAGAGCTCGGGGATGGTAACAGGATGAAGCCACCTTAGAAAATGCTGCTTTAATAGATCTTTTGAAGGTTACTATCAGTGCCATAAACAAAAGCGCAATATGAAATGGTTGTCCTCCATATTACAACAAGAAACCGGACTTCCGATGTTGCGATCCCAATGCATGCCCCGGAGACAGGTGTGACATCGGAATCCTTCAAACTCCCAGGCTCTGGGTCCGTTGTGTTGCTTTTCCTACGGATCCAATCCAAATAGTCATCCTTAGCAGGGTTGTCGCCCTCCTCTGAAGACAACCTAGGCAGGCCAGTGAAATATAAATGCCTAGGGGGTATGCATTTCAAATTTTGATGGTTTGGTGTTTTTGATGTTAAGAAACTCTGCAAAGTTCTCTCCTTCAGCGAGGGGTTCCGCAAGATGATCGTAAAGCCAACGGAAAAACGCTCGCACATGATCACGGGAAGGGCTGTCACGAAGGGTCCTCTCGCGCCTACCATCACCCGGTGGTTCAGTGTGTCCGTTCTTGATGTGATTCCTCAGCGTGGTAATTAATTCGAACCCAATAGAGGGCCCATTGATGATTATCATATTTCACCTTGACTTTCTGTCGGGGAAATGTCAACCATCTCATTCTTGTACATAAGTTATTTTGAAGAACTATGACACAAGAACCCCTCTACCTAGGTCCGTTGTCAGGGATTAACGATAAACACAAATGTATGTCAATCAACATATTTCCTGATTTGGCTAGGTGCATGTTCCTCAGCATGACTTTCTTGGAAATCCCAGTCATGGACCTGAAAGCTTTGACGCATAGATTTTCACCAAGAAAGATCCATTGCCTCGAAGGCCCTCGCCCAGTGCCACACTCCTGAAGAGAATGGCCGGTCTCCGTGGAAATGGTTGTGAATCATATGGCCCCTTTGGTCATCAACTAACCAGGAAAAAGATAAAACATATATATATATATAGTATATGTGTATGTATATATACATATATATTTATATGCATACTAGTGTATATATATAATATTTATTGGCTTATTGTTTTTTTAAGCCTATGCTGGCATGTAGCTGATCTCAACCATTTCCGAAATTCTGTGGCGGTGTTTCGAGAAACACATTTTTCTGCTGTAAGAAGTCCTGAGCGCAACAGCATTCTACATGGTGTGGGTTAAACATACTGATACCCCATGTTCCCAAAAATGTTCGTGAAATCAAATATTGGATAATCCCATACTGTCCAAGAATAGTGAGCCATATAGATTAAAAAACGAAAGCTCCTGTTGAGTATCATGGAGACGTTTCAAGAAGTTGAAGATGAAAATCGCTTGAACCTCTGTGGGCTTCTCTTTCAATAGACTGTGCCATTCTTGGCGCTTGAGTGTGAAATCGTCATCTTCCAGCACCCGGGCAGTGCACTTGTGAGCACAGCAGTCGGAAGAAAACCTTGGTCGGATTGATCATGCTTAGCCACATGCACGTGTATATATATATATATACATGTGTCTGTGTGTTATATGTATTTATGTATTGGTGTATTTTTGGTAGGTGTTTATGTATGTAATCTATAGTAACGTAACATCATGTGACCCAGTGTAAGTCTAATGCAATGTATGTATGTGTGTATGTATGCATGCTTGCATGTATGTATGCATGCATGTTTGTATGCATGCATGTATCTATGCATGTATGTGTGTAGGTGTGTTCGTGTGAATGTATGTCTGTATATCTGTATGCCTTCACGTCTGTTTGCTTGCCTGCCTGTCTGTATGTCTGTATGAATGTATGTCTGTATGTCTGTATATCTGTGTGCCTTCACGTCTGTCTGGCTGTCTGCTTTTATGTATGTCTGTATGAATGTATGTCTGTATGTCTGTATGTCTGTATGTCTGTATATCTGTATGCCTGTACGTCTGTCTGCCTGTCTGCCTGTCTGCTTGTCTGCATGTCTGCCTGTCTGCTTGTCTGCATGTCTGCCTGTCTGCTTGTCTTGTCTTGTCTTGTCCTGTCCTGTCCTGTCCTGTCCTGTCTGTCTGTCTGTGAGTCTGTGTGTCTGTGTCTTTGTGTGTCTATATGTCCGTATGTCCGTATGTCCGTATGTCCGTATGTGTGCATGCCTGCATGCCTGCATGTTGGTCTGTCTGTCTGTCTGTCTGTATGTCTGTATGTCTGTATGCATGTTTGTCTGTCTGTATGTCTGTATGTATGTATGTATGTATCTATGTATCTATGTATCTATGTATGTATGTAATGTATGTATGTCTGTCTGTCTGTCTGTCTGTATGTATGTATGTATGTATGTATGTATGTATGTATGTATGTAGGCATTTGACTTGATGCCTTCAATTTGAGGGCCGCACAAGTCCAACTGTTCAAAATCTGGACCATCGCTGTCATCATCTGGAGGCAGTTGTACCGGACTTCCGCCAATATCCTGGCAAGTGTGGGGACAGAAAGTTTCCGGTTTTTTTTTAAAGTATTGCTACCCGATAACTTCAGACATAGGAGTTGGCTTTCAAGTTTAAATCGCATTCTGAAGAAAATGCTGTGACAAGTTTGCACATGTTCATTTGGGTATTAACTGGGGTATCCCAAAAAGGACATTAATCTCCCACTTTGTAGCGCTCGGCCCTGTGGCCCTGGCCTGCACCCCCATAAGATTGGCAATAGTAATCCCTTCGTCATCACTGGGCAATGCTGCAGGAGACTCAGGCATACCTAGCCCTTCAAAAGGCATGCTGCTCATGGCAGGTAAGTAATCAGTTCACTGTGTGGGCCAAAACGCCTCATTGTATGCGCCGACATGTTTCACACAAGAAACATCAATTTATCCTTTCCTCATTTTTTAGGCATGTATAAAATATGTGGTGTGTGAGAAACCCTCGGCCCGAAACTCAGGGCATCACAGGCAAGAAAGCCCACAGGTCAGACGCCTTGGCCAAGCTGAAGCATAGCATATGTATATATATATATATATGTATGTACCTATATATATATATGTATGTACCTATATATATATATATATGTCTATATATCTATTGTCTATATATTCATGTCTACAGATCTATATATCACCATATATATATATAGGTAGGTGCCAAATTTCAAACAACTCCTTTGTCATTGTTGGGTTTGTGCCACAGCATGTGGATTTAGGTCAACAAAAATTGGAATGTATTGGGCAGGATTCATCCAAATTCCTGAAATCTTTAAGCTCCCTTTTACCCAGCAATTGTCCTGTTGAAATCTTAATGGGGAGGTGGTGATTCCTTTTTCAGTGTTTTTTGGGAAGCCAACAGGAAAACACCAACTTTTTCATTTTTAAAGCATCTATGGGAAATTTTATCGGTGACGGTTGGTATGCAAAATCAAACATTCTCAGGCCCTGGCACAACCAAGCGACAAATCACCTATGGCCAGCATCAGAAGTGGATCGGCTAAGAACTCCAAATCAACAGTTTTTCTTAGCTGGACGATTGTTTTGTAAGAAAATATGCCTCTTCAATTTATTTCTTTGAAGGTGTTGTTTCTGATGCTGAACCCCAACACACACACAGCTTGTGTGCTCCTTAGGTCCAAACAGTGTTTGCGAAGGGCTGTGGACTGCGAAGATCTTGTCCACAGCAAAAGCCAACCTCAATTGAATAACTATGAGGCAAGCAATCTCTACCACCCTGCCCTGCTCCATCGATGAGAAGCTTTAGTCTCTTCATGGTGTTGTGAATCCGACTGAGTATGCAATGCATGGAATCTTTCAAATACAACAAAACATGAAATGAATCTAGACTTCCCCCAGATATGATCCAATCTGCCTAGTTCTTCTGACTTTTCGAATTGAAGCATGAAAAAACGGAGAAACAATTCCGAAAGTGGCCTCACCAAAACCATCTGTAGGTCCAACCTGAAGACAAAAACATGAAATTTCACACAATACGTGAAGGTAATGTGAACAAAACTTAAAGAGTTAACGGTCCAAGGATTCAGGATGAATTCAATTCAAGAGGCAGCCCCTATCCACTACTCTGAGGATTTCACCTTGCAATGCCCTGGTCATGTAGCGCCCATCACCTCCCAAGGCGAAATCAGATTTCAGTCTCACTTGATATAATAAAGCCCCGAGTACCCAAGAAAAAACAAGTTCTAATTTTCAGCAAGATTTTTTCTCTTACCTCACCAGGCTAATCGTTCAGATTCTGCTTTGCTGAGCCAAGCAGGTTGAAAAACAAAATTTGATTGGGCAAATTCATCCAATCACAACCTCTCTCTCACACCTGGTAGATGTCGGTCGAATTGAACTGTGAATGCTGGCTGCAAGTAGACCCCGGTAACGTTGTACTGGAAGGACATTCCATCTTCATGGAGGCTGAATGGCCCACGCCATTTGCGGACCACGTCATGTGGATACATTGGAGTGGCAATCCAAATCTCATTGGCGATAGGTGCAAGCAATCCACAATCGCTCTCCATAAGCGTACGGTTCACCTGGTCAATCACATGGATCTTCCAAGCCAAGCCCTTCTCTGACTTGTGAATCTCCTCCTTCAACTTGTCAAAGGCTTTCACCCTGAACTGACCAGCCAGAAAGGGAAAAATGCTCAGCTGTTGGTTCAAGTACGCCTCCTCACGGACCTTCACGTTCCCATTCTCCTGGATGGCTCCTGGTGGAAGGGGCCAAGTGAAGTATTCCAGAACATCGTGCCCCAAAGCCTCTGACCACTTGTTGAGGTTTGCTTCCAAGGTCGCAATCTTCCCCTCAGTCTCTGAATCGCCATGGGTCAGCAACACAGTCAAGATGGCTCCAAGTTGGTCTGCCTTGTCTGCCATGCTGCACTGAGACTCACAGGACCGGAAAGTGAGAGTCACTTTTTCTGCTTGCTTGTGCCAGAACTACGGTGGCCATTTAAACTACTTCATGTCTGTGTGTCTGATTCTTGGCGTTCATTTCTTCCAACCCTTCTTTCCAGCAATCGAAGGCAATGAGCACAAAGAGCTCCATTGGACAACCACCGCAATTAAACCAGGTAGACCCTGCCCGGCATGGCCTGGCTGAAGGGCGTTGACAAGCACAGGAGTCACTAAACTACTCTGTTATTTTGAACCATATGCCTGTTGTTGATGTTGTTGTTGTGGTGGTGGTTATTGTTGCTGTTTTGCAAATATAGGCAAACATGTTGTCTGTCTGTGTGTGTTTTTTTTTTGCCCGTCCTGCCCCCCCACGGGCAAACATCATAATTTCATCGATGGTGAGATTCATGGTGTTGAATATGGTTCAGTTCGAATCTTGCAACATCATAGTCCAACCATAAACAGATTGAACATATACCCTATGATTAGCTAAAGAACGCCCCAAAAACCAGAAAACCAGAAACCAGACTTTTGGTGGTGCCTCACCGCGCGAAACAAGACTTTTACCCGAAACCCCTGCAAAAATGGGGCCAAGACCGGTTCCGAAATGCGGTTCTGAAATAAGGGTGGAAACAGAACCGGTGTGCCTAAAACCACTTTTCCCTGGAAAAACCCAGGTGAACCCAGTCCAAAAACCAAAAATAAAACAAGACTTTGCTATCTTTAGCCTCTTTGCTGTGCAGGGTGGAAACAGAACCGACCCCCCAATTGGAAATGCCACATCTCCACATCTCCACTCTTGACTCCTTGCTTGCCTGCTTGCTTTGAGCAGCTGCTGCGTGAACAGGCCCGGCGACCCCAGCCCAATGCAACTGTGCCCATCTCCCTACATACAGCCCCCACTCACCATTCTCCAAGAGAATCGCCCTCCCTCCCCCCAGCCCTGGCCCTGCCATAGCTGCAATGGGTACCCCCTACAAAAAAGAAAACAAGGTTTAGGGCAAACAAACAGGCACTTGTCTGGGCCCACCACATCTTGAACATTCTTACTCTTGAACATTCTTATCATTCTTACAGCTCCACCCAAATGCTTTGCCCTTCCCTACGCCACCCACCCAGGATCTTTCTCCTCACTTGGCTCTCTTGCGCCCTGCTGGCTCCGGCTGCCATCTCCCCTACACCCATGGCAGTCTCATGTGCCCCAGCATCATCATAGATACAGATACATGATGCATGCATACATGCATACATGCAAACATAATACATTACATACATGGCATGACATGACATGACATGACATTACATTATGCATACATACATACCTACATACATACATACCTACATACATACATACATACATACATACCTACATACCTACATACATACATACATACATACATACTACATGCATAGATAGGTAGATAGATAAATAGGTAGACAGATAGATAGATAGATAGGTAGATAGATAGATAGATAGACAGACAGATAGACATACATACAGTCTCGACATTTTAACAGCATTGCATTGAAATTTGACATTAAAAAACAGAGACACCACCAGAAATCAACGAACAAAACAACAAACCAAGCCACGCAAACCTAGAACGTGCAAAAGAAAAAGCAACTACAACCATGGAAAAATGAAGATACCCAACGACTAGTAGTTATGCAAATCCAAACAACAAAATAAGAGAAATATGCACAAATAAAAAAAACATTGCACATAAAAATACCAGAAAGCAACACAAAATATAGCAAAGAACACAGGAGCAAAGAACATAATTTATCATAGCAGTAAGCCTAAGGATGAGAGAAAACAATCCAGAATACAAACAACATATATAGTGTGTTTTTATGTATATATATATAATTAATATTATATATATACACATAATATACACTCAACCCTAGAAAAAAATCAGAATGAAACAGAATGAGGTAAGAGAAGAAATGAAAAATACAACAGATTCGAAACCAAGAAATAAAGAGGAGATACAGATAGGGCAAAATAATGCTGAAAACAAGTAAACCAAAGATAAAGAAACAAATAGAACAAAACCATAGCATACCACTAAGTCAAATATCCCCAAATTGAAATCCCATTTTTTTTGGAACCTTTGCATTAACAGAAGCCCCCTATACAAAAAAATCTTCTTCTGAGCGGAGCAGGTCCACCACCACTCTGCGCTTCACGCTGCCGTCGGGCTTCGTCTTGAGCACCAATGCCAAGCGGCTCACAGTGCCCTTGTCAAAGTGGGCCCTCACTTCTTCCCAGTCCATCAAGATGGCAAACCCCTTCTCCACGTACCTCTGCACCTCTATCTCCGCATCCTCCGGGGCCTCGACGAAGGACTTGTAGTTCGTCACGTGGGACTGCATCTCGATTTCAGGGCCTTCTTCCATCAGCTCCGGCGTGATCTCACCCGTCGCGGGGAACACCCCGTTTGAAGGGGGTATGGGCATGTTCATACCAAGTGGTACCCCCTGCTCTGCCCACTCAGCTACATGGAAATCTGGGTCTCCTGTTTCTCTGAACCACGCTCTCCATAGATCCACGTTCAGCGGGCTCTTGAACATCAGCTTGTCGCGAAGGGTGATGCCGTCCCGCACAGTGACTCCCAGTAGTGACGACACTTTGAGTTGCCACTCCATTGCAATGGTCTCGTCAAACTGCGCCTCCGCCGAGCCGTAGTTCTCGCCCAAGGAGAGTGCCCTCGGCCTGTCATTGACGAAGTTCTCCCATGCCACCCGCAGCTTCTTGCCCATGTTCTTGACCTTCCACAACCTTTTGACTGCTCCCAGAGGATTCCTCATGCCCCGCAAGCAGAAGTCGTTCTCTGCCTCCTTCTTCTGCTTCTTTGACTCGCGTGTAGATGAGCTTGGGGCTGTCTCCTTCTCCGGGTCCATGTCGACTGCTGCTGTGGGCTCCTTCATTGTGGGTAGGACTTCATCGACATGTCCCAGTCTGCGGGTGCCCCTGGACTCCTGCTTCTCCAGGATTCTCTTCTCCTCGTTCTTGAGCCACCCCGCCTTCAAGGTGGACACTTCTTCCGCCTTCTGCGTCAATCTCCACCTCCAGAACTCGAGCTCGAGGGTTCGCTTCCAGGTGGCGATGTAGAGCTTTGCAACTTCGCTGCATAGCCTGTCAGGGTACACCCCAGCTCGGACCGTGGTGGACTTCCCCGTCACTGGTGTGTGCTTCACCCAGGCCGGGCACCTGCATACCTTTGCCAGGGACTCCAAGTTCTCCAGTCTACCCGCCCATCTGCCTGGCTTGAAGAACCTCTCCTTGCCGTCCATGTAGTGGCACGTGTTGAAGTCCGCCATGCTGGCCCCCATCAGTTCGAGTGCCTCCACAATCTCCTGCAACATCCATGCACTTCCTGCTGGACCATCTTCGTCTCCTGGGGGATTTTCCACAGTGGCTGCCTGAGGTACCCTGCGGCATCTTTGGGACAACGTCTGCTTCTGCATCAAGATGACAGATCTCGTCGCCATGATCGTCCCGTGGTCTGCTTCATCCTGTTGTGCCTGGGAGTTGCCTGGCAGTCCATATGGGAACTGCCTGGACCGTACAGGAGGCGGCATTCCAGCCCTTTGGACCCACCTCACTCTGCTGAAGGAGCCGCATGGAAAACCTGCATGGTACCCATCATACTGGCCCTCTGACACCTTTGCCTCTATCTTGTCCATTATCTCATTTCGTCTGAGGTCCATGGCGGGGTCCTTTTTGATGTCAACACTCTCGACTTTCACCGAGAGACCCGCCTTCTTGCCCTCCTCCACCAGCGCCACTGCCAGCCTGTCGTCAGGGCCGCTGAACAAGTGAAGAAAGCGGAAAGTTCTTCTCTCTCTGAACTTCCCGAAGTCCTTGGCTTCACCTAGTGCATCTTTGACTCGCTCTGGCCACAGGACCCCCTTGATGTTCTCTGGGACCTGTTTCGCCGGTTCCAGCTCGACCTTACGTCGGCCATCCCTCTCACTGGACTCAGCCGGCTTGACATCGTCGCCAGCCGAGTCCGACGAGCTATCCGAAGACTCGGACAGGACCGACATTGATCCAAAGCTTTGGACGCTGATCAAGCTGGACTATCATGCGGGTTGCAACTGTCTACATGAACTCTTTCACAAGACTGCCCATGCAACCACCTGTGAACCTGCCTGACGATTCACAGCATGCAACCCTTGTCAAAGATTTCACAACCCTGACATGATGAATCAAACTGTCAACAAAACGTTTCAAAGAAGCAAGAAATCAACCTGTGAACCTGCCTGCACAACTCACCAAGGTCAAAGCCCACCAACAGGATCAACCAAATAAAAAGAAGATCAACCCCAACTCCCAAAGATCATAACCACAACAACTCAACGCACAATCCAAGGGCTCAGACTTTTCCGCGTCCTCACTTCGAGGTGCACTTGGATTCCTGGTGACTCGGCGAGAGACAGATCCGACATTTGTGGACCCTCTTCACCGATCCCAAACAGTCTGCGCCCGGGCTCAAGTGGCCGCAAGGGGCGTTGCCTGCACTCCATGCGAAGCAGAGTGGTTTTCCGCTCTGGTCTTTTGATTTGCCCTTCGTTTGACCCTTTCCCCCCTGGTGGCCCTTTGACTCGTGTCCACTCCCGCCTGCATGATTGCTGCGGAGTTTCTTCAACTCCTCCCTGTCCTCCACCAGCCTGCGTTTGCGAGCTGCTCTCTTATCTCTGTTGGCCTGTGACCTCTTCTTGCTCTCGTCACCCGCTGTCTCCATCGTGAGGTCGGATCCTCCAGGGAGATGGGCATGAAGTGCCACCTCCGATGCCACCACCGGTCGACCACGACTTCCCGAGGCCAACCAAGCTGCTGCTGGGTGATGAACATTCTCCGCCCAGTACTCCACGTCCTGGACTGCCATGTCAAAAACCGCCGTCCACGGACTAGTAGGATCCCAGTTCAGCGGAATCTGTCGTCCAAGGGTGGCTGAAGTCATGATTCTCCTTCTCCACCTCTCCAAGCCCTCAGCCCTCATCTTGTCATCGGCCTGAGCAATCAGACCCCAGCACATGGGCCACTGCGTCGTCAGTCGTTCCACAAAGCGTTCATAGCTCGTCAGCGAGGCCAGGGTGCAGATGTTCAACATGAGTGCCGCTGACTTGAACACTCGCCAACACCCCAGCCATGCCTGAAACGTGCTCGGCCCCGGCAGCTCCTTCGTCAAATAGGACCCGTCGCCCAGGGGGAACACCGTGCGGAACTTCTGGTTCTTCATCGTCCTCCTGGCAAATGGAGTCCAGACACTGAAGTCCGTGTAGGGCGCACAGTCATGCACCACCGTGCGCTTTGCAAGTGCTGCCAGTTGAGCAGCAGTCGGCTCCTCAGCTGGATCCGGTAAGGCTCCCATGATGGTGACGTACGATTGCGTCCATCTGTTGACCTCCTCATTTGAAGGTGGAAGTAGTTCTGACTCATCTTGGGCGTCCACCAACGTCGACATCTTTAAGATCCTCTCCTTGAGAGCTGCAGGCTGACTGCCTGCCATCGACCCACTAGGTTGCCCTGGTTGACCGTTACCTCCGGAGTTGGAAGCTGCAGTTGCTGGCTCGTTCCAAGGATCGATGTCTATGAACTGGTCCTCACTCAGCCCTGACTTCGCCGCCACCACCTTTCTGCAGAGGCGCCACACCAGTCCCACTTGAGTAGCCTGCAGGGGCAACAACGGGCTGCCATCAGGGAATGAGGCCTGGTTACACCCAGCCACCACTGCAACCCTCGGCAAGGCAGCAAACAGCCGAAGGTCGTTTGCAGGATCTCCCACTTGGGAGGTGAAAGCCGCCCACACTTGTCTCCCCAGGCCCAGGATCGTCATTACCTCGTCCAAATCATGTATCCTAGCTGCATCGGCCCAAGCCCCAAAGAGGCTCATCGCGCCTCAGCACCTTTCAGCAAAACTAAGAAAGGTGACTGAGGCATCCTACCTTTCAAAACTTGCAGCCAAAATGGCAGCCGGTTCATATCAGTGTGCTTCCCCTCCTTGCTTGTCACTCTGATGAGTTCTCACATAATACATACATACATACATACATACATACATACATACATACATACATACATACATACATACATACATACATACATACATACATACATACATACAAACATACATACATACATACATACATACATACCAATACATACCAATACATACCATTACATACCATTACATACCATTACATACCATTACATACCATTACATTACATTACATTACATAACATTACATAACATTACATAACATTACATAACATAACATACCATACATACCATACATACATACATACATTACATACATTACATACATTACATACATTACATTACATTACATTACATTACATTACATTACATTACATTACATTACATTACGTTACATTACATACATACATACATACCATACATACCATACATACCATACATACCATACATACCATACATACCATACATACATACATACATACATACATACATACATACATACATACATCATGCATGCATGCATGCATACATACATACATTACATACATACATACATACAAACAAACAAACAACAAACAAACCATACATACATACATACATGCATGCATACATCCAAACAAACAAACAAACAAACAAACAACAAACAAACCATACATACATACATACATACATACATACATACATACATGCATGCATACATACATGCATGCATACATACATACATACATACATGCATGCATACAGTGCATACATACAGTGCATACATGGATACATACATACTTACATTACATTACATTAACATTAACATTACCATTAACATTAACATCAACATTACATTCCATTACATACTTACACACATACGTACACACATACGTACATACATACATACATGCATATACATGCATATACATACATACATACATACATACATACATACATACATACATACATACATACATACATACATACATACATACATACATACATACATACATACATACACATACATATATATACATACATGCTTAGGTGTGCTTTCCAGTAGAATGGTTGACCCCGCGATACATCAACTGCAAAAACATGCATGCATGACTCAGCCAAGACAGTGCAATCGCTACGAAATGCTGTCTGAAAGTCAGTGTTTTTCACTTGTAAAACAGTGTGGTTGTCCCTTTACTCTTTCTAGTTGATGTTTTCCTCTTTGTCTGCACAATAGTTGCAGCATACTGCGAAGAAACCACAAAGGGCAAAAGGATAAGAAGCCAGAAGCAACCGAAGCCAAAAGCCAAGAAGCCACACAAGCAAAAAAGAAATGCAAAAAACAAACTAAAACTAATGCCTATCCGATCAAGAATTCAATCCGCTCAAGGCCTGCATGTGAAACCTCTGCAAAATTCACAACTTAAATGGTTGCACATCTCACCACCAATGCGGCCAGGATCTGCACTACACTCCATACTGCTTGCACGCTCAACTATGCTGCGCTCAGGCTTTGGGCTTTTTGGGCTTTGGAGGTCCAGCCCCAGGCCTGAGCTGCAAAGCGCACGTCAAAAGCGTCAACAAAATCGGAAAACTCATGGACACCAAAGGTATGCGTCGCTGGACGACTTATTGCCTCAAATATGAATGCCAAGTAAAAGTTGGGGCCATGGGCAGGGATGACAGGGACGCAGTGGAAGTGGAGATTGCTCGCTTCTTGCTGTAGCCGGTGCACACAAAACAAATGCCACGCCAGCTGGGCATAGTGATCTGCAAGGGGGCTTCACACATGCGCGAAAGAGATAAAGTGCATCTTGCAGAGCATGCTGGCATCGGGCTGCGGCTGCGTAGGAGGTGACGTGGAGTAACTTTACTCTTTCATACTCTTCAACAGAAGGCAATGTATAAATGAAGTTCATTGAAGCAAATGTTTCAAACGCGGTGTAATATGCAATGCAAAATAGACCAAGATGGCATACGTGCACTCCAATGCTTGCAGTGGAAATGTTTTTTGTGCACTACCCTACTACGTCTTGTCAAGTTGAAACAAGAGCATCATAAATAAACTGAGGACAGAACAGGAGACTATTATCTAGTTACTAGTCAACGCAGTGCTTTGACACACGAGGCACACCGCATGTGATATCAATCTACATGCAGCGCTGCATAACTGGCAGAAACGGCACCAAACATACCGACACTCATGGTGGAGCTAGTTTTTGCCTACTGTTGCCTGCTGCTTGTCGAGTGGATGACAAAGCGTTTCTTGACAAGGAAACTATATGGCACTGCCGTTGGTTTCACGCACATTCAGGTGTCTACAAGCACTATATTTCGATTTTGGGGAGCCAAAAATCTCAGACATATTGTTCCTCAACACCAGCCACCATCACACCAGGGGCAACCTGGATCCCAGACGCACAACCTTTACAGCACTGGCAAAGCACGAAGCTCTAACAAAAGTCAACGAGTACGGACAGTACGGACATGAAATAGATCCAAAGCAGACCGAGCTTCATCGGATTTTTTGTAAAAAACAACCTCCTTGGTACCACATGACGCGCAAATACGCACAATGTATCCAAGATATTCCAAGATGGTAGGTCAAAACATGTCAAAACATATTGCATGAAGCACTCAACAACAAGGAAAATGTAAAGAAATAACCCGTCATCAATGCTCGCAGTCAACTGGTTCCTACTCTAGCTGCGAATGCTCTAAGTATGCAATGCACCTAGGGGCGATGAATACTGCTTGCACCATCAAGAGCATGTAACAACATGCCGCAGGGCAGCTTGAGCCACCAACTTGGCAGGGCCTACTTTCTCTGCCTTTCGGCAAAGACAGGAGGCATAGTTTGACAATCACATCAAAGTATTGGCGCTATCAACTACCAACAGAATCCAACAGACTGCTCAAGCGGTGTGGAATATATGGTGTGGTCTGCCTTTCGCTTGTCTGGTGGGCCAGCAGGTCCGACAGCAGGTCCGACAGCAGGTCCAACAGCAGGGCCCACAGCAGGGCCCACAGCAGGGCGAGGACTTGGCCCCATCGCCGGGCCAACGTTTGGTTTTGCTGGGCCTGGCACCAACCAGGAATGATGAGCACAAAGAACCCTTAATTGGTCCAAATTGCCTAATGAGTCGCTGAGTTACTAATGAGTCTAATGCATTCCTAATGCTGCAACACCAAAACCCTGCTGCGCCACACTCAACCTGCCCAGCCTTTCGGACCCACAGGGCCACGGGCTGGGCCAACCTTGCACTAACAGGTTGAGAAAATTCCGCTCCTTTCAGGAATTCAACTCTTTATGGGTGGTTCAGTCACAATTTAAAAAAAGCCAATGGCTTCAAAAACACAAAAAGAAAATCAATTTGAAACCTGATAAGTAAATGTGAAGCCACCTACGTGCCAAGGGCCCGACAGCAGGGCCAGCGGGTCCTGCAGGTCCAACAACTGGATGGCGCCGTTTGACACCTTAACTGCCCTAACTACTTCTGGTGGGAAAGGGGGCCGATACAGCCCTAGAAGCAGTCCAACAGCCCTCATAAGGCCTGTAGGTTGCCAACATACAGGCCTGAAGCAGTCCAACAGCCCTCATAAGGCCTGTAGGTTGCCAACATACAGCCTTAAAAGCGGCCCCGCAGCCCTCATAAGGCCTGTTGGCGCTTTAACGCTGGGACGCTCCAGGGGGCGGGTGGCATTGCCCTTTCTGTTGATGTCTGACAAGGGAAGAAAACACGGTTTGTGTGAACATTTTGTTCAAAAAAAAACACGCAATTTAAAATTCCGCTAAAAAGTAACAACAACAAAAATGAAAACCAACCGCAGTTTTGACAATATTTCGTTTCAGGCACATCCTTACAATGGAATTTGGACAGGCAATTAGTCAAAAAAATAAGTAGTTCCAACTTTTTATGAACATCTCGAAAACCCTTTCACACATCTCCAATGAAACCAAGTCTGAAAAAACAAATGTCTACCGAAAACTTGCGTAGCTGAACAGTTCTGCAAGCTGAGAAAGTAACTCGGGGCAAAAGCGTCAATCAAAAAACACAAGTAGTTGGAGCCCGACCCATAGAAGGCCGCGGTGTTTTAAGCATTTTTTGGCAATGTTTTGTTTTTTGATGGTCTTTCATGTCAACTAGCACACAGACGTCATGCTATGTTGTGGTTATCTTGGGGTGGGGTGGGGCAATAACGTTCATGTCAACTTGCACACACACACACACACGTCATTCTACGTTATGGTTATCTTCTCTTGCACTTGCACACACACGTCATGCTACGTTATGGTTATCTTGGGGTGCGGTTGGGCGGGGTGGGGTGGGGCAATAACGTTCATGTCAACTTGCACAAACACGTCATGCTACGTTATGGTTATCTTCTCTTGCACTTGCACACACTGGTTATCTTGGGGTGGGGTTGGGTCATGCTACGTTATGGTTATCTTGGGGTGGGGTGGGGGGGTGGGGTGGGGCAAAAACGTTCATGTCAACTTGCACACACACACACGTCATGCTACGTTATGGTTATCTTCTCTTGCACTTGCACACACACGTCATGCTACGCTACGGTGATCTTCTCTTGCATTTGCACACACACGTCATGCTACGTCATGCTTGTTTTTGCAGATGGAAACCGTGCTTGGGAGTCACATGCTAAAAGTTTGAAAATCAAACATGGCAAAGTGTCTCATCAAAACAAAGAATGGGCCAAACAAATGCGAAGAACCCCCTTCTTTTTCCTGTCCACTGTGGCAGGGACGCAAATCGCTGACAGATGGTGGAAAGGCCTGAAAGATTATATTCCCAAAAGCTTTCCAAGACGGTTGTACCATGGAGTCAACACAAAAGGGCACCCTGAATTGGAAAAGTTTGTCTTGGGTTACTGTTGGCGAAAATCTTTGGGACCATTGACACCTCACCGATTTCTCGAAGAACTTTGCAAGGCCGTCAAAGCAATGAAGAGCTTCTGAGAAGAAGGAAAAAAGTGCTGCATCCCAAAAAAACACGAACTTATGTCAAAAAACGAAGTAGTTTTGGAGATTTTCAAAACCCTATTTTTCACGTCAACATGATAAAATATGACGTTTTGCTGTAGCGAAAACGACATTTTTGTTGATGAAAAACTCCTAAAACCATACGGCCCTCTGTGGGTCGGGAACCAAGTAGTTGCACGTTGGTTTTGTCACAGATTGGTGTCACACACCACATCGAAATTGAATCTGAAAACTGAGAAACTGTCAGTACCCGTGGATTTTGTGAGCGTTGTGTTTCTAAGAGTGTAATGAAATTGCGATTGGAAATAACAAACAACAAACAAAGTCAATAGCCGCGGGGTTTTGTGAGCATTTACTTTGAAATACAACAGTTGTTTCACTCAGCAGTTTGCCGTGTCACCCCAATCCTTTGTTGTGACACATGATGTGGAAACGCATTGCAATGATAAGAGTCAACCAAAATGAACACCAATCCATTCTAGTTGATTCTCTTGGCCGTGTTCAAGTTGGTTCCTCATGGCTCCTCTGCTCTAGGTCCAGTGGTCAAAATGTTTGTCTGTTTTCGGGTGTCCTTAACTGGTGAAACACGTTGAAACCATGTCTCATTTTTCGCATCCTGTTTATCAACTTTCGCAATGCCTCTTCACATTTTTTCATTTTTACTCTCTCACGGTATTCACGAGCGTCCAAACCGTTCATTGAATTTCTCATGGTTCCACAGGTTTGTAAGCCGTTCACTCACTTTATCGTTTTCATGATTTTTTGCTGCCCAAACCGCTCAATGTCTTCCTGATTTTCCCTCATGTGTTTATAATGACTAGTTTAGAGTTTAAGTGTTTTTTTCATGTTTTGTTTGAGTCACATGTTTCACGCCTGTCTTACATTTCGACAGGCGTTGTGGTACATTGCGTTTTGTGTGCAGACATACATATCTACCTGAGAAGGGGGGAACGAAGGCCAGCATCCCATCTACCCCTATTTTCCCCCAATGGTTTTTCACCCACAGACTTTTCCCCCATATACTTTTCACACATGTACTTTTCACCCAGAAACTCTTCTTGCACATACTTTTCACACATATACTTTTCACCCACACACTCTTCACTCAGAAACTCTTCTTGCACATACTTTTCACCCACCTGAGAAGAGGGGACGAAAGCCAGGGTCAAGTTTGAACGGGGACAGGAGAGTGGAGAGCATGGGAGGGAGTGCGGCGGAGGGTTGGTGGGGGCATCGGGGGAGGGGCGGAGGGGCCGGCGGGGTGAGGCTGTGTTGGGTGTGGGCGTGGGGAGCCCTTGGAGAGAAGGAAGGAATTTGTAGGAAGAAGGAGCGGAGGGAAGAGGGTGGGAAAGGTCGGGAAGGGTGAAGAGAGCGTAGGAGGAAGTGGATGCTCGTTTAAAGAGCTGACGGGGCGCAAAGGAGCCCGGAAGGGGAGAGGACGTGTCGGCGGCAGGGAAGGCAAGGAAGACGGGGAAGCGGGCGCCTGTGGAGGAAGTGGTGTGTTTGAGAAATGAAGGGAAGGCCGGTGGGTGCTCCGTACTCGACACTTTAGAGTGTACACTGGACATTATACACTTCACAGTCCACAGTCGACACTTGACACACTAGACTGTACACGCTTCACTCTAGGCCCCATACTTTAGATGTTACACTTTACACCCTTCACTCCTCACTGCACACTTGACACGCCATACTCCACACTTTACACTCCACACTCTACACTTGACACGCTACACTTGACACTCTAGACGCTACACTCCACACTCTACACTTGCCACTGTACACCCTTCACTCACATTCCGCCCTCTACACTTTACACTCTACATTGTACACTTTACACACTTTACACCCCACACTCCACACACTGTAAACTTTACACACTGCACTTTACACTCTACACTTTACACTCCACACTCGACGCTCGACACTGTACACACTAGACTTTACACTCGACACTCTTCACTCTACACTCCATACCGTACACTTTACATTTTATATTTCTGTCCTACCGCCGGGCATCAGCACCCATCTGCAACTTGCACCCTGCGGGCTCCTTTCCTTTACTTCTCAGCAGCTACCTAAAAGAGTATCACTCCAAATGGCCTCCCCAAGCCACGCCCTTTCTTCCTTCCAATCGAACCATATGCACCACCACACTCCACACCGCACACTCTACACTTTACACACTCCACTTTACACTTTACACTCTTCCCTCTACACACCATACTTTATACGTTACACGTTACACTCCTCACTCCTTACTGCACACTTTACACTCCACACTCTACGCTTCACACTCTATACTTTACACTATACACTCTACGCTTTACACACTACACTTTACACACTACACTTTACACTCTACACTTACACTCCACACTCTACACTTTAAACTTTACACTTGACACTCTACACTCCCACACCTTACACCCTTCACCCTGCGGGCTCCTTTGCTTCCCAACAGCTACCTAAAAGAGCCTCACTCTACATTGCCTGCCCACGCCCCAAAGAGCCCGCCCAAGCCACCCTCTTGTCCCTCCAACTTCCCCCCCATCGTGCACCCCGCCCCAGCCATCATGTTTCCATACGTCATTTCCAAGCACTCCACATAAGTACTACATGAGGAAATTGTAAGCAGAACTACCTTCTGTATCTCTCCATAACCCCACGTGCCACATTGGCTGCGGGAACGCCGACAGCGGTACACGAGGCTAAGTCGAGGTTTCCGGGAATCACAGAGAAGCAAAATTGCAAGAACTTCAGCAAAACGGTTCACATGGCGACTTACACTACACTTTACACTCTACGCCTCTACGCTTTACACTCCACACCGCACACTCTACACTTTACACGCTCCACTTTACACTTTACACTCTTCCCTCTACACACCATACTTTATATGTTACACGTTACACTCCTCACTCCTTACTGCACACATTACGCTCCACACTCCATACTTTACACTCCACACTCTACACTTCACACTCTACACTTTACACTCTACACTCTACACTCTACGCTTCACACACTACACTTTACACTCTACACTTACACTCCACACTCTACACTTTAAACTTTACACTTGACACTCTACACTCCCACACCTTACACCCTTCACCCTGCGGGCTCCTTTGCTTCCCAACAGCTACCTAAAAGAGCCTCACTCTACATTGCCTGCCCACGCCCCAAAGAGCCCGCCCAAGCCACCCTCTTGTCCCTCCAACTTCCCCCCCATCGTGCACCCCGCCCCAGCCATCATGTTTCCATACGTCATTTCCAAGCACTCCACATAAGTACTACATGAGGAAATTGTAAGCAGAACTACCTTCTGTATCTCTCCATAACCCCACGTGCCACATTGGCTGCGGGAACGCCGACAGCGGTACACGAGGCTAAGTCGAGGTTTCCGGGAATCACAGAGAAGCAAAATTGCAAGAAC